CCCAGCTGAGTTGTGGTAGCACGGGTAGGTGCTCGAGGTGTTAAACAGTGAATTCAGACAACCCCAGCACAGTCCCTAGCACGTTCGAGGACGAACGTATGTTTAAGTGGGAGAGGATGTAATGACCCGACCGGTCGTTTTGAGCCCTAGCGTGCCGTTCAGCAGTTCGAGGCCATGAGCAGCTTCAATTCAGGTATTATGACTTGTACGCGTGGTCGGGACTAAAGTTCGGGAAGTTCGGAGTTGACTTGGAGAGGAAGTTCTCATTTCAGAACTTTAAGTTGAAAGAATTAGCTAAGATCGGATTTTTGAGTAAACGACCTCGGAATCAAGATTCGCAGGTTCCAGCAGGTTCGTATGATGATTTTGGACTCGGGCGTATGTCCGGGTCGGGTTTTGGATGACCCGGGAGCGTTTTGGCGCCTATTATGGAAGTTAGCATTTTGGAAGAAATTTTATAAGTTTGGGTTGAAGTGCATTTCAGTGTTATCGATGTCCATTTGAGATACCGAGTCAGGGAGTAGCTCCGTATGGTGATTCTGGAGTTGGGAGCGCGATCGGAAGTGAATTCAGAGGTCCGTGGGTCATTTTGGAGTCATTTGGCTAAAGATAGAAATTTGAAGATTTTTGAGAAGTTTGACCGGAAGTGGACTTTTTGATATCGGGGTCGGAATCTGATTTCGAAGGTCGGAGTAGGCCCGTAATGTCAAATATGACTTGTGTGCAAAATTTGGGGTCAATCGGACGTGATTTGATAGGTTTAAACATCGAGAGTGGAAGTTTGAAGTTCTAAAGTTCATAAAGCTTGGATTGGAGGTCGATTCGTGGTTTTAGCGTTGTTTGATGTGATTTGAGGCCTCGAGAAAGTCCGTAATGTATTTTGGGACTGGTTGGCATGATTGGTTGGGGTCCCGGGGGCCTCGGGTGGATTCCAGGTGGTTAACGGATCGAAAATGGAAATTTGGAAAAGGCTGAAGATGCTGGTATCTGGTATGACCGCACCTGCGAGGGTTTGGTCGCAAGTGCGGAGCCGCAGAAGCGGCAAGGATGGCACAGATGCGGTTTTGGGGTCTGGAGTGAAGAGACCGCAGATGCGGCCGTGGGGCCGCAGAAGCGGGACCGCACCTGCGGTGGACGAGGCGTAGAAGCGGAAGGGAGGCCTGGTGAGCATAACCGCAGAAGCGGAAGGTTGGCCCGCACCTGCGGAACCGCAGAAGCGGTCATAGGACCGCAGGTCGGAAAGTGCTGGAGGCAGTGGCTCTTTTAAAAATCGGGGGTTTGGTCATTTGCCCCTATTTTTCATTTGGTGTGGGCAATTTTGGAGAGCTTCAAGTGGGATTTTTCATCATCAACGATAAGGTAAGCTAATCACATCCATCTTGAGTTAAATACATCGATTATGTATGGATTTTAGCATGCAAATTGGTAGAAATTTGGGGTTTTGGTAAAAAGACCTAGAAATTTATATTCTTGGAATTTGGCCACGATTTTGGGTATGGAATTTAGAGAAAATTATATATTTGAGTTCGTGAGGCTATGGGTAAACTTATTATTCGAAAATTTTGGAAATCCGGGCACGTGGGCCCAAGGGCGTTTTTATCAACTTTCCGATCGGGGTTAGGAATTGTTATAAATTGGATTAATATGAGTAGTTTATCGTATATTAATGGATTTGCATAACAATTGGCTAGTGTTGGAGCGTTGTGCATCAATTTGAGTTTTTGAAAGGGCGTGGAAGGCCGGTATGGATCTTCGGAGCGAGGTGAGTATCCTTTCTAACCTTGTAAGAGGGAATTGTCCCCATAGGTGAAATAATTGGTTATGTGCTCTTATTTGTGGGGGCTACATACGCACGAGGTGAAGAGAGTCCGTGCGTAGCTACTAATATGTGTAAGTCCGGGTAGTTTAGGACCCATAAAGCATGCTATACTTGGAATATCTGTGATCTTATTGACAATTGAATTTCTTAAATCCTATCGATTTGGTAAATGAATTTCTAAGAAGATTAAACTCCATTTTTCTTGAATTGTTAAAAGAGAATTTTGCTTTCCCTTGGATAATTGTTCCCTGATAAATTCAGGATTTGACTGATTGTCGTGTTTATTTATATTTGACCGCGTCGCATGTATGATTCGCCAGTGGGGTAATATATGCATCTATGGTTCGCGCCATTCGACCCTCTGGCAGTGCACAGTTTAAATAATGTTGGATCGGGCTGTACGTCCTCGGCATGAGTTGCGCATGCTTGTATTGCTTGTTGTGATATTGTTGATACTAATATCCGCTTTCCCCGACTTGAGATAATTGTTAATTAATGAATTATGAATCCGGAGACTAAATAAAAAGGAACTTTCACCTGTTTAATGACTCATTTAGATTCTACTGTTGTTCTTAATAAATCCGTGAGTCATCGCATCAATAATATTATTACTGGACCTTTAGTAAGTGTCGAAGTTGCCATCTCGTCTCTACTTCTTCGAGATTAGGCGGGATACTTACTGAGTACACGTTGTTTTTATACTCATACTACACTTCTGTGCATTTTTGTTGCACAGGCACATGTACTTCTAGTGACCTACTGGGCGTAGCAGCATGGATGAAACTGGGACTAGGTGAGCTGCATTACTCGAGGCGGACCGCAGCTAGTATAGTCCCTTTCAGTATATTGTATTTACTTTCTGTCCATTTGTATTCCGGACGGATGTTGTATTATATTGTTTCTTAGAAATAGCTCATGCACTTGTGACACCGGGTTGGGGATGTCTATGGGTTTATTCAGAAACTTTAAAAAGGTTGTTAAATGTTTCATTATTTATTAAGTGGAATTTATTATGTATTGTTTAAACGTATAAAAGAAGTGGTTTTGGAAATTATTTAAACAAGAATTTAATTAAGTATTTTGGGTTGGCTTGCCTGACAGCGGTGTCCGGCGCCATCACGACCCTTAGTGGATTTTGGGTCGTGACATTTAGGCTTTATGCTGATATTGGTAGGACCCATAGTGGTCGTTTCTTGCTATCATCTCACTAATTTCATTGATTTCATACTCAGTCATATTCATGCATTCATATCATATCTCAATCTCAGTTGTTGTTTATTGATACATCATATCATTGTTGTCGGGCTAGTTTCATGACATTGTGAGCCCGTGAGTGAGACTGGAGAGATTGATAACTGAGTGAGGCAGAGGGACTGAGTGAGAGTGATATTATTGAATTGGGCTGCACGCCGCAGCATGTTATATTGATTACACTCTTGGGATCAGGCTGCGTGCCACAGCGATATAGTGTTTGGGCTGAAAGAGCCCCTCCGGAGTCTGCACACCCCTAGTGAGCGCAGTCGACTATATATATGTATATGAATCGGGTTGCACGCCGCAACGAGCCTTATGGCTATATGTATATGGATCGGGTTGCACGCCGCAACGAGCCTTATGGCTATATGTATATGGATCGGGTTGCACGCCGCAACGTGCCTCATGGCTATGTGTATATAGATCAGGTTACACGCCGCAACGAGCCATATGGTTATATATATAGATATGGATCGGGTTGCACGCCGCAACGAGTATTGTACAGTGTTGAGTGTGCTGAGTATTGAGCACGGTAAGAGATAATGCGAGACAGTGAGGTTGAGTACTCTGAGAGTGTGAGTACATGAGTTCATCACTGAGAGGCATTGCATTTGACATGCGTACTTGATATACATGCATAGAGATGAATTTTCTTTTGCGGTCCGGTTTTGATGACATTCATGATTTTTAACTGTATCTTGACATGTAGGCATAGAGATGTACTTTCCTCATGCTATATGAAAATAAAACATTTACCTGATGAAAAGTTTTTGGAAAAAGTTACAGTTTTCAAACTTACTCATTTTTTTGACGATTTCGATAAAGGATTTTGATTTTCACTGATATACTTGAAAAGCAAAACTGTTTTCGGAAAGCTGTGAAAAGCTGAGTATTTTATCTTGAGTTATTTCCTTGTTTATGTATGCTCTACGCTGTTATGAATTGCTATTGGTTATTGGTGGACCCGCCTATGATCCAGCTCGTCACTGCTTTCAACCTAAGTTTAGGTTTGTTACTTTTTGAGTACATGGGGTCGGTTGTACTCATACTACACTTCCTTCACATATCGTGCAGATTCCGGATGCTGATGTTGTTGTGTTCGATGGTTGCAGGATTTGAAGGCGTGCCTGCGTTCCTGTTGTAGCTGCCTTTTATTCATGGTTGCCTTAGAATTTTAAAACTCTATTTATGTATTTTTCAAACAGATAATGTATTTACTTCATGTCAGCTTTGTAAACTCTATTCTTAGAAGCTCATGATTGTACTACTAGTCCTTGGAAAATGTAAAAGATGCAAAAAATTCCTTTGTTTAATTGTTTAATTAATAATATTGAAATTGAATAGTTAGTAGTTGTCTTACCTAGCGGGTTGGGTTAGGTGCCATAACGACCAATGAATTTGGGTTGTGACAGTTCAAGGGCCAATTTTCTAAATGGTTGGAGTATCGTGTGAAGAAAGATGCGGGATATTGCTTATGTTGTTGTTTGTTCAAAAATAAATTTATTCATGGAAAAGTACGGGCGAATTTTTATACAAAGAATGGTTTTAAGGCTTAGAATAAGGGTCTTGAAAGATTTCGTTTATATGTTGGTGGTGTTAATAGTGTCCATGATAAATGTTTTAAGAAGATGCTAGACTTATCAAATCAACATCAGTCAATTCAAGTTTTTTGATAAGCACTCCTATAAGTTGAAAAGTGAGTATCGGATGCGTTTAGAAGCATCAATTGATGTGGCAAGACTTCTATTGTTGTATGGATTACCTTTTAGGGGTCATGATGAAAGTGAAACTTCAACTAATCAAGGCCTCTTTCTAGGATTCTTATGGTGGCATGAGGACAAACATCCGGATATGGGAAAAGTCATATTAGAAAATGCTCCACAAAATGATACTTGGACTTGTCCTATGATCCAAAAGGATATTATCAATGTTTGTGCAAAAGAAAACAATAAAGGCTATAATTGGAGACTTGAATGGAGATTACCTTGGTATATTAGTTGATGAGCCCAAAGATATCTCACACAAAGAACATATGGCTCTTGTTTTGCGTTATGTTGATAAGAATGGTGAAGTGGTAGAGCCATTTGTTGGTCTTGTCCATGTTAGTGATACATCGGCATGCTCGTTGAAGGAAGAAATCTACTCTTTGCTTTCGGAGCACTCACTAAGTCCATCACAAATACGTGGACAAGGTTATGATGGAGCTAGTAACATGAGGGGGGAGATAAGTGGTCTCAAGAATTTGATTATGAAAGATAGTTCATCGGCATATTACATTCATTGCTTTGCGATAACACTTGTAGCTATTGCTAAAAAGAATTTGGATGTTGAGGACTTCTTTTGTCATGTTACTAACGTGTTGAATGTCATTGGAGGATCTTTTAAGCGCAGAGATTTGCTTCGACATCTTCAAGCTGAAAAGTTGGAGCAATTACTTGAGTCCGGTGAAGTTTATACTGGGCGAGGACTAAATCAAGAATGCAGGCTTCAAAGACCAGGTGACACTCGTTGGGGGTCACATTTCAAAATATTAGATAACTTTATTGTTATTTTCTCATCTATTGTTCGTGTGCTTTAAGTGATTAAATATGAAGGTTCTACCTCAAATGAGAGAAATGAAGCAAAATATCTTTTGAGTGAGATAACAACATTCAAATTTGTTTTTATGCTTCACTTGATGTTGAAAGTTTGGCAATATCAAATGAGTTGGACAAGATCCTACACAAGAGGGATAATGATATTGTTAATGCCGTGGAGTTTCTTAACATCACAAAGAAAAGATTGCAAGATATGAGAGAATGGATGTGAATCTTTACTAGATGGTGTTTCATCATTTTGTGTTATGTATGACATTTTGATTCCCAAGATGGATAAATTTTATTTTCCTGGAAAGTCGAAGCGCAAGTCTTTTGGTGTTTGCTATTCACACTACTTGCGTGTTGATATCTTTTATGTTGTAATTGATGTAAAACTTCAAGAGCTTAATGACCGTTTTGATGTAGTGAGTAGCGATTTTCTTCTCGGGATGACTAGCTTGAATCCAGCCAATTCTTTTGCTAATTTTGATAAAGGTAGAATAATCACTTTAGCAAAATATTACCCAAGTGAGTTTGATGGAGTACAGATTTGAGACTTGAGTTATCAACTTGATACTTTTATAGTTCATATGCGAGCTGGTAATCCCAAGTTCTCCAATTTACAAGGAACTAGTGATTTGGCAAAAGCATTGGTTGAGGCAAATATTGTGAAGACTTATTCATATGTATATTTACTTGTGAAGTTGACTCTGATTTTACCTGTTGTTTAGTTTGTTACATAGATCGTGATGTATTCACAAATGTAAGTAATTATGTCATTATAAATCGTTTTCATAATATGAAAACTCGTCGAGGACAATTGCAAATAGGTGATGTATGTTTATAATATTAATATTATTTTTGGAGGTTTTATGGTTGCGTCAATTAGTTATAGTTATTATACTTTTTTCGTTTAATCGATTTGTCTATATAAATAAAAAAGATGAATAACCCGAACCGACACCCGAGTTGATCAAATCGATTAGCTTGGCACCCAAAACCTCCAAATCTTGGATCCGCCTCTACAAGAAAGAAGTTCAATTTATCGACGGGATGATCAAATGACCAAAAGAGAGTTTTGGGAACTGAAGACTTGTGGAGGTCGCCGAAGACTTGTGGGCAAGTATTAAGGAGTATTTTTGTTAAAATAGCACGGGCTAGTCAATTATGGACTGGTCATTCAAAAATAGTCAGCGTTTGTCAAGTCATTGAAAAATAGCCACTATTTTGCTGCAACAGAGACCGGTCCAACATAATATATTGGAGTTCGGTGCACCTGTGTATGAACTTCCAGCATATTATGCTGGACTGGTATACTTTGCTGGCTCCAATATAATATACTATAGTTCCAGCAAAGTATACAGGAGTATTTTCCGGATTTTTAACAGTGTTTTTATCCAGATTTATCTTTACATGAAAAGTGGCTAAATTTCGATGACTTTTAAAATTGTGGCTATATTTAAATGACCACTTGTAAATCTAGCTATTTTTTAATATGTCCGAGTATTTTTCCATGAGCAATGGTCCGGGAATATAGCAATTAAAGGCTGATCTTGCAGAACACAAACAAAAGGGTTTGTCCATAGTTGATTACTATGGCAAACTAACGAAACTTTGGGAAGAGCTTGTCTGATTTGCAAGTGCAGAAACTGCACTAGTGATCTTGGTACAATATTGGAGAAGAAAAGGGAAGAGGAGAATGTAAGTCTTTTCCTGTTGGGATAGGATAAGATGATGTATGGGACGGCGCAATCAAACTTGTTTTCCCAGGATACACTACCGGCGTTGAATCGAACTTACTCAAACTGGGTCAGGAAGAATGATCAAAGATTATGATTCGAGGAATGAATGAGCATAATGACATGATGAATTTTGCAGTGCAAAACACACCACTGTATAAAAGTTGACATGAAGAAAAGGATAAGTTTTCGGTTTAATCTTATTGCAAACAATCAAAGTACGATGTGAAGAATTATTTCCTGGTTATTAGCTATCCCGACTGGTGGGGAGACCGTTCCCTTGGCGACGAGAAAATTAGTAGCTGCGGTAAGGGACAACAGTAGCCGCAAAGTGGTGGCTCAATCAGAGGATGTGGTCGCTGTTGGGATAAAAAAAAATATCCCGCCCAGGAATAATATGTACGATAAATAACAATAACACAAGAGAGTAACAACGACACCAAATATTTTAACGGGATAAAATACAATACCCCAGCGGAGCAATATTACCACTATAATATTACAACTTAGTAGTGTCAAGAGACTATTACAACTTCGAAAGAAATAACACTCTTTATTTTAAACACCTCACTACAATATTACTCTCACTCACTATTTATCTCACAGACTACAATCTGTGAATTACTCTCTCTACGCTCTATTGCACTCTCTCTGATTTTGGTGTATCTGAAATGAAGAACGAAAGCTTCTATTTATAGGAAAAGTTTCCAGATTTGGCTTTCTAAAATCAGATTTGTCTTTTGCAAAATCTGATTTGCAAATTGCACGTTTAAGCAACTTGTTGTCTTCTTTTTCTTTTTCTTTTATTTATATGGGTCCCACAAATCTCTCCCTTAATTTTAATTTTTCTTCTTCATTCCAAGTCCTGATCTCAATCTCTGGAAGTCATCAAACTTGAGAGGCTTTGTAAAAAATATCAGCAACTTGATCATGAGACTTCACATATTTGAGCTCAACTTCCTTCTTGGCAATGCATTCTCTGATGAAGTGATACCTTGTATCAATATGCTTGCTTCGATCGTGATACACTGGATTCTTCGCGAGTGCCTGTGCGGATTTGTTATGAATACAAATCTCTGTAGCTTCAATTTGTGGTAAATTGAGCTCCTTCAATAATCTTCTCAGCCAAATAGCATGACAGGTACAGGATGTTGCTGCTATATATTTAGCTTCACAAGTCGAGAGAGTAACAATGGATTGTTTCTTTGAACTCCAAGAAATAACAGAATCACCCAAGAAAAATACAAAACCAGTTGTACTTTTTCTATCATCAATATCTCCGGCATAATCACTATCACAAAATCCCATAAGGTTGAAATCATTAGAAGAAGAATAAAATAACCCAAAGTCAGTCGTACCTTTTAGGTACCGAAGAATTCTTCTAGTGACTTTGAAATGAGTGGAGGTAGGAGCCTCCATGAAGCGGCTTACTACTCCAACTACAATGAGTTTATCTGGCCTGGTACAAGTCAAGTACCTCAAACTTCCCACAAGACTTTTGGAAAATGTGGGATCCACTTTTTCTCCTTCATCAAACTTGGACAATTTTGTCCCACTCTCCATCGGTGTGTTCACGGGGTTGCAATCGAGCATGTTGAACTTCTTCAATATCTCTTTTGTATAGCTTTCTTGAGAGATAAAAATTCCATCCTCCATCTGCTTCACTTCTAGGCCCAGGTAATATGACATGAGCCCTACGTCAGTCATCTCGAACACACGGGACATATCTTTCTTAAAAGCTTCAAACAAACTTGGGTTATTGCCCGTGAAAATAAGATCATCAACATAAAGACAAACAAGCAAGATATCTCCATTAGTATGAACTTTAAGGTAAAGAGCATATTCATGGAGACAACGAGTAAACCCATTGTCTTGAAAATACTTGTCGATGCAACTATTCCATGCTCGTGGGGCTTGCTTTAATTCATATAAATCTTTCTTCAACCGCAACACTTTATCTTCATGGTTTTTTACCACGAATCCCAATAGTTGTTCAACATAGACTTCTTCTTCAAGATAGCCATTCAAGAAAGCTGACTTGACATCTAGTTGATGGATCTTCCACTTCATTTGTGCCGCCAAAGAGATCAGCAAACGAATTGTCTCCATGCGGGCGACAGGTGCATAGACTTCTTCATAGTCAATGCCTTGCCTTTGCTTGTAGCCTTTAGCCACAAGTCGTGCCTTGTATTTCTCCACATCTCCATCAGCATTCTTCTTTATTTTGTGTACCCATTTCACTCCAATTGCTCGATGACCCTTGGGAAGAGTTGTTAATCCCAAGTGTTGTTCTTCGCTATTGACTCAATCTCCTCCTCCATGGCTTGTCTCCACTTTTTGTTTCTAACAGCTTCATCAAAGTTCATTGGTTCACTGTCAGCAAAGAGACAACATAAAAAATCAAAATTAGTAACTTCTTCAGTGTCCTCATAGAGCTCTTGAATACTCCTTGTCCTTTGCGGTTGTTCATTTGAACTTTCTTGGGAAGAGGGAGATGCAACATTGGTTGGAGAAGGAGGTGGAGTTGTATCCTGCACAGGTTCCACGGTCTCTGGTTCTTCTTCACCACCAAAATATGGAAGAAAATCATATGAAGTTTCTTCCTGAGCTTCCCAATCCCATGCCAATTCTTCATCAAATTCAACATCGCGACTTACCACCACCTTACCACTGCTTGGGTTGTATAACTTGTATCCTTTTGAACTCGTATCATAGCCAACAAACACATGCTTGACACTTCGATCGTCAAGCTTCGCTCTCCCTTGCTGTGGCACATGAGCATAGGCTATGCTCCCAAAGATTCTCAAGTGCTTGACACTTGATTTTCTTCCACTCCATGCTTCTTGGGGGGTTTGATCTCTAACATTTCTTGTTAGAGACCTGTTGTTCAAATAAACTGCACAAGAAACAACTTCGGCCCAAAATTCCTTGGGCATATTTTTAGCTTTCAACATACATCTAGCCTTATTAAGAATCGTTCGATTCTTTCTCTATGCAACACCATTTTGTTGGGGTGAATAAGGTACCGTTAGAGGGCGACGAATTCCATGAGACTGACAAAAGTCATTAAATTCGTTTGAAGTGAATTCGCCTCCTCTATCGGACCTTAGAGCTTTAATTTCATAGCCACTTTCTTTCTCCACAAGTACTTTGAAATTTTTAAAAACAGCAAAAGCTTCAGATTTTTGGTTCAAGAAATAAACCCAAGTCTTTCTACTAAAACCATCAATGAAGAGCAGAAAGTATTTACTTTTACCAAAGGA